CCAATTTCATCACTCTTGTTCAAATCAGTACTTGAAATTTTAGCCAGAGCAATCAGGTAAAAGGAACAAATAAAAGAGACACAAATAAGAAAGGAGGTTTAAGGCCAGCCTGAACTACATAGCAAGACCCTGTCTCAAAAATCTCAAACAAACAAAAAACAAATAGGTAAGGAAGAAGTCAAATTATCTCTGTCTGCAGATATGATTCTGTATTTAGAAACTATAAAGGTTCCACACAAAGACTCTTAGAAACTGCTAAACAAATTCAGCAGAGTACCAAGATACAAAATCAACACACAAAAGTCAATAGTAATAATGGACTTACTGAGAAATAAATTAGGAAAACAATTCTATTCTTAATAACCTCAAAAACACAACATAACACAACCACAACAACAAAAAGCAAACAGAATCCAGCCCTAAAGATAAACCTAACCTAGGAGGTTAGAGATATCTGCAGTGAAAATTACAAAACACCAAAGTAATAGAAGAAAATACTAAAAATGCAAAAACTGCCTGTGTTCATTTCTCTCATGTGAGAGAAATAATACTGTGAAATCACCTGTTTTTAACCTTTTTATTACCTTTTTTTTTTTAGTATAACTTCCATATAATAAATACACCACTTACTTTCTTGATCAATTTTTGTATCTGGATTCCTGTATCAATATTATGTTTTTGAGATTTGTCCTCACTGGTAGTTTGGTTTTTATTGCTTTGTGGATTTCTGCTGTTCACACAATTATACATATAACACAGTAATCTATTTTCCAGTTAGTGGACATTTGTGTAGTTTCCCATTAGACTATTATGAATAGTTATGATGAACCTTCATGTAATACTGCTCTTAACATTTGAGGAGAGACTGATATAACTTTGATAAGCCATTCCCATTTATTCCCTCTATCCGCACCTCAATACCTAACACAGTGGCTTTCCTGGTGGACTTTTGTTGTTATATGGCTTTAGACTGCATGGTGATTTGTTTCCTAGGCTTCACATGAAAAATAGACTCCAATGTCAGGACAGAGTCTACTCAAAGTTTCCATTATTATCACAAATAATGAACAAATAAGGTCAGGAAGTCAGTCTCCTGTATTTAAATGATCTATTTTGGTCTTGTTGCTGTTTAAAATAGAAACATGTTCCCAGATACATTTTAGTGATTGATCATGAAAGAATGTAGAAGTTTCCAGTGCTATTTTCTTTCCTAACATTCCTACTCACTTCCTTCATCTTCTTACCTTATTCTTTCTAATAGCAACTCAGAGAAAGGCAGATCTCAAGTGGAAATACAATGTTCACAGAAATGCCATGTATTACACAAGGAATGCCATTAATGTGGTAGTTCATTCAAAACTTCCTTCTTCATTTTTCTTTCCTTTAAGACTATTTACTTGTAAGATCTTTCCTTTAAGGCTATCTATTTGGAAGATCTGAGAAGCCAGGCATTCTCAGTTTGAATCATGGATCTGAAATCATGAACAAGGTCAGGGATCTAAACTCTGAGTCTCAGCTTTCTATTTTCTATATTAGGGGTATGCTATCTTCTATATTGGGTTGCTTGGAGGATTAAAAGCCGTAACACATGATAAGGAATGAAGCCCAGTTCTCAGTGAATCCAAACTTTCTTTCTGAATGAGCTTACATTTGTTTCCTGTTCTCTTTGTTTCTCCAATAATTTGTTTTAGGAAACAAGGCACCCACCCTATCGGCTGCAGGAAGCTCACCAAGAGCATCCCAGAGTGTTTTAAATTTTAAAGGCCAACAGTGGTACTTGGCATTGGTTAGACAAAGACTGGCTCTAAGAATTTCAGTTTCAGTGTTACACTATGATACATTCTTTCATTAACGTCCTGTACTTGCAAGGCTGTGTTTCTTAGTTCTGTGCTAAAATACAAGTACTGCCTGAGTATCAATGTGCAAAGTGAAATTGATAGTATCAGCTTCACTCCAGGATTTGAGAAATTGAGCCATGAACAATTGACAAAAACATCGTATTTGTAAGTGTATTTAAGAATGAAAAAAAAATTTCAGTTTATGAATATTATTTTTTCATATGGCTATGGTTACAAATTATTAGGACATGAGTACTCAAAGCTGTTTGAACTTAACTATTGAGTAGATGCTTTGCTTAGGTATTTCTTTTGATCTAGAAGTGCTAGGAAAAAACAAAGCCACTAAGTGTACTTGGAAGTTGAGAACTTTCTCTCCTTGTTGAACCTTGGAGAGACAACAGTGACATAGATAAAGATGTAGATATTTTTAGTAGATATATAATAACAAATGTTCAATCAAATAGTCAAGACTACATTTTGTAAATAAACATGCTATTCCTCAGGAAATCACTTCTCTCATTCATTCTTTTTTTAATTTTTAATTTTATTAGTACATATTTGCAGTTCCTGCAGTTTATAATTATCTTTGGGAGTGGTTACATATACACACCACAGCTTCTTTTTTTTAATCCCCTTTCCCTTTCCTCCCCATCCCTCCCTCCTCCTCCAACTCCCCTATCTCATTTTTCATTCTTGTTGATAGTATTTCTCTAATCTCATGTTATGGCATATAATGTTTACATTAATTGAGGTCACTGGGTTCCTCTACATGACACATCTTTATTACACTTGTTTCCCCTTTCCCTCCTCCTCACTCAGTTCTTCCTTTGGGTCATTTCCCTATTGTAAGAGTCCATCTCCTTGTTGCCGTCTATCCATCCTTTATTATCCTCACTGTTTATAACAGTTAACTCTTAACTATCCTCCGAATGTAATTTAAGTGTAAGCACCTTCAGGAAGCCATCCCTAATTTATAACTCTTCTACTCTTATGCTTAGTGAGGAGTCTGATGTCTAGGCTTACAGGACCTTTTGTGGATCCCATTATACCATTACCTTTATGTGAACTTGTGGACATAGATGAAATGCAAATGAACTTAGCATCTATGGAACTTGGGACAGTGTTTAGCACATTACAGCTGCTCTGAAAGAACCTGCTAATGAATTAGTGAAACACTGAGAGGATATGTAGGTAATAGTAAGCAGCATTTACTAAGAATTTTAGTTGCTTTCAGGGTTAGTCAAACGCCTGAAGATGATATAGTTATCATATAATTTAAAGACCTTCTAGTAAATCCTCAAGTTACATAAATTCAGAGAGGTAAATGGACTGTAATCGCAGGAATCTAAGAGAGTATTGCAAAAGGATTACAAGTTTGAGCTCAGTCTAAGTGACTTAGTGACTCAGCAAGATCCCGTCTCAAAAACTAAACGAAAAAGAGCTGGGGATGTTGTTTAGTGTGAAGGTTTTGGGTTTGATCCCCAGTACCACAAAATCAAAAGAAAGGTGAATGGAGACAACTGAGGGTGAGGAGTAGCAGTTATTTTGGTTACAGGGACAGGTAGAGCTGAACCTGCAATTCAGGGCTCCTGCATTTTATTTTTTCTATACCACTTATTGGACCCGGTCATCAACATGTAGAGTGTAACTTTTCTTTTTTTTATTTTGTAGACAGGATCCTCTTTTTATATTCTTCTGCAACCCTTAGACAGCTAAGGAATAGTTACCACATAGTGTACTGGTCACAGGGTTCTCCTGAGAAACAGAACCAATAGACTGTACAGAGATAGATAAAAGAGGACATTTATTATTGGAATTGGTTCACATAGTTAGGGAGGCCAAAGTGTCTCACAATCTGCTATCTGCAAGCTGGAGGAAACAAGAGGGTTGGTGGTATGATTCAGTCCTAGTCTGAAAGCTTAAGAATTGGTGTGCAGATGGTCTCAGTCTCAGTCCACAAGTCTGAGAACCTGGAACACCACTGTCTGACAGCAGGAGGCTGGCTATCTCACCTTAAGCAGAGAGTAAATGCACCCTTCCTCTTTCATTTTGTTCCATTCAGACCGTCAATGGATTGGATGAAGCCTACTCACCTCAGGGAAGGGCATCAGTTTTACTTAGCTCATCAGTTCAAATGAGGATATTTCTCTTCCAACATATTTCAATCCCTTATAGCCTAGTGGTGGTGAACCTCTGGCACATGTGTTATTTTTCTTTATGACTAAAGATGTTAATGAATTTTTCTTCCTAAACTAAAACCTCAGCATTCAGATTTAATTGAAATGTTGCATTTTGCAATAAATAAGTGAGCTTTGGCTTCCAGTTTTGGCACTTCCCTCTAAAAGGTTTGCCATCACTGCGCTTAATCAAGCTAATACATAAAATTAACTATTACATGTAGGTTACTTGATTGAAGCAGTCTCAGGGGATTACGATCAATTAAATATGGATGGAAGAAACTACATCACAATACAATGTGAAATATTAAAAAAAAACCTTCAGAACACCAAAAATAGTTGTGTTCCTTTGCATTTGGAAAACTATATTTACAATGTCAATTTTCATTGAATTCACTCATTCAACTTGACTAAATAGTATTTGCCAGGCATCATCCTAGGAAAAACACAAATGTTTCGGGAGCTTTCTGGATACCTGAGGAGACAGAGACTATAGAGACAATTGTTTAACATGGCTGGGAATAACTGGCAGGAAGATAAATACTATTTGCATTAGAATATATTATAGACTACTATTCCCCCACTTTAAAAGTTACAACAAATAATCTGAACCATACCAAATATTATGAAAGATGTAGAGCAACTAGAATTCTCAAGCACTACTGGTAGAAATTAGAATGATCCAGCCATTTTGGTAAACAGTTTGGCAGTTTCTTCTAAATTGTAAGGCCTAGTAATTCTAGTTTTTGGTATTTCTCCAGGAAAACATGTCAGCACAAGTTGTATGTACACTATCCGCTATAGCAACTTTATTTATAATGATCAAAAACTAGAAACAAAATTCCCATCACTAGGCAAATAAATCAACAAATTATAGTACACCGGAAAACTATTCGGCAATAAAGAGATAATTTTAAGACAATCATAGCACTGAACAAAATCTCCAAACATTTTGCCCAAAGAGTCCTGTATTAGAAATACAAACCTGTAATCCCAGCACTCGGGAGGCTGAAGCAGGAGGATCGTTGCAAGTTCGAGACCAGCCTGAACTGCATAGCAAGACCCTGTCTCAAAAAGACAAAAAAAAAAAAAAAAAGAATTGTGCAGAGGGGAGGTGGTTATTGACTGGGAAGTGTCTAGGAATTTCCCAGGTTGATAGAAATGGGTTATACTTTCATTGAGGGTGGTGGGTTCACGAATGAACACTGGCCAAAACTCACGGAATTTACACTTAAAGCTTCCATATAAATTAAAAATCAAGAAGTATTACTAGTGACTGTGATGGCTGGACGCAAGGATCTTTTGTGGGTGTGTGGATGTGTGCTGGGGATGAACTCAGCATGTTAAGCAAACGCTCTACCTCTAAGCCTCTTCCTCGGCCCTTCAAGAAGAATATTAAAGCGCACTTTCATTTTAGAAAAAAAAATGGCGGGGCAGGGAGCGAGCTTCCAAGTTCAAGAGACTTTCACAAGTATTGTACTGATCGAAGCGAAGGAAAATGTGGAAACATTCTATATTTTACAGAGTGAGGGTAGGGTACCGCCAACGCAGCAGGCAAAGAACTGCTTGCCTCTCGCGACCGCCAACCTTAGCTTGATCCTCCACCCCCGCACCGGTGCCGGAGAGGTCCGGCCGACACCCGAGCCGCCCGCAGCGGTCAGAGCCACCTCCGCGGCAGGGCTCGGGACCGGGCGGGCTGGCGCTCGCCGGCATCGCGCTGACGTCACGTGCGTGCTGACGTCGCTGACGGCCGCGGCCTCTAAAGCGGGCTGGGGCTCGTTGGGGGGGCGCCGAGTTTGACTAGTTTGGGGTCCGCTCGGGGCCGGGCGCTTCTATCGCCGCCCGCCGGGCCCTGCGAGCGGCGCCTCGGGCGGACCGAGTGCGTCCCGCCCACTCCGCTGGCGGTTGGGCGGCGCTCAGCGAAAGTTGGCTCCTCGCGGGCGGGGCGGCGGGCGAGCGGCCGCAGCCATGGAGCCCCGCAGCATGGAGTACTTTAGCGCCCAGGTGCTGCAGAAGGACGTCGGCGGCCGGCTGCAGGTCGGCCAGGAGCTTCTGCTGTACCTCGGCGCCCCCGGCGCCATCCCAGACCTGGAGGAAGACCAGAGCCGTCTAGGCAAGACTGTGGACGCGCTCACCGGCTGGGTGGGCTCGAGCAACTACCGGGTAAGCGGTGGCGGCGGGCGGGGCACGCCCTCTCTGGCCGGCCCTTTAATCCCGGACGCGCGCGTCTGGCCGGCGGAGCTCCGGGAGGCGCCCGGGGCCGGGAGCCGCGCTGTGGAGGGGAACCAAGCTGGGGTCCCGTGGCTCGCCCCGCTGGCGCGTCTGCGGTTCCGCCCGAGCCGAGGACTGACTTTCCACCGCGACCAAGTTTTTCCACTTTTGTGAAACAATGACAAATTCAGCGATTCCGTGACACGTTGTAGAGTTATTTGGCACAGGACACAGTATCCTTCGTTTTTTAAAAAAATCAGTTGCTAACTTTACATGCAGTAAAGGGGTCTTAGACTTTTCAACACTGGTGCACACCTGTAGAAACGCTCTCCAGGTTAAAACGTAGGCCCGTTAGGATACGATTTAAAATTGAAATGACATGTCAAATCAGTCTCGTTTTATTGTGTTTTTAAAATCCTACTTAATCTCCTGTTTCTTATTGCTTTCATAGTTTTTGTATGTCTGGAAGGTTGACATCTTCTCAAAAGCATCTTTAGGGCGTAATCAGGCTCCTGGTTGCGTTTACCCTTAAATCTAATGAAAGGATGCTGATCTCATGATATTATTTATTTGCTTTTCCTTCGTTGACTGTGGAAAGCTGCTGAACGTCCTTTATTATTTTGTTTTACTGTACCTGAAGTCTGACGCCGAATTTGAAACCATATGCTACTAGGTTTAGTTTGTGCTGGAAAAAAAAAGATGAGGTTCATTCACAAGAATGAACGAGTAGTCTATCTATCTAGAGTCAGTAGTAAGCAGGTTGTAATGTAGCCACCCAGGGAGACCGGATAAATAAATATTCAGTAACTAGCACGTTTGTAGTTGTTAGCAGTTACTTTTTCTAGTCTTCTGGTGGCAGTGTTGCTTTAGAATGCTGACTAGAACCTCCTGTGGATGAAGTGATTTATATTAGCAACAAGGTATATCCTTACATCCAGCGGATAGATTGTGCTTCGAAGGATTTTTACCTGCACAGAGAGTAAACTCTAGAAATAAGCAGATTTAATGATGCAACCTAGAGGAGTTTTGGAAAGGTTAGACTTTTTAAGCAGTGTGAGAATTCACCACCTTGATGCTCCATGACATCTTCTTACCTCTTTATTATTTTTAACAGTTTGGGAAAATTTGATCTTTACTAATATTATATAGTAATAATATTGAGGATTGTTTTTTTCTTTGAAAAAGAGGTAAACTTTGTAAGGAAGGCCAATACATACATATATAACAGTTGATTTTATCTTGCAGCATAACCCATTGTAAAAAGCTCGCCTTGATAATGTTTGCTCCCGTCCTCACATGAAAGGTGATGTGTCACCTTCTTCAGTACTGATGGTAGTGAACTGGCCTTGGGCTGTTTCACTCCTCGGGTATCATCAATAACTGATAGTTGAGCAGTCCCATCTTGTGAAGAACACCTGGCTTCTGTGGTACTATGGTATCCCAACTTTTCCGTCATTCTTCTGAGATCTCCTTCCACTCAGTGCTGTTTTTCTTGTAATTGGTCACTGAGTTAGAATCCTTCAGGGTTCTCACCTGTTTTACCACACATTATTTCCAGGCTCCTCACTTCATACTGTAGCCTGAGATAACTTCAGCAATCAGAAGGCAACTGCCACAGGCTCCCTCTGCCTTGTCTATACTTTTCCTAGTAACTGCCTATGTAGTCTGCCTTCTTTCCTGTTACACTGAATGAATAACCTATGTGCCCGCTTGTGCCAGTCCCTCCACAGCAGTGCTAGGGCCTTCTTGCCTGCTCACCGATGTTGATCCATCAATGCTTTCTGCTTTTTCATTCCCTAGTTCTCTCCTTTCTACTAAATTGGGTAGTGTAAAAACTTCTGACATTGTTAGTGAGAGGACATTCTAATTAGTCTGTTTGGGCTTTATAAACTGAATTGCCAAACTGAGTTACCATTTTCTTTACTCCAGATACACTAAAACATAATTAACTCATTACAAAGAGTTGGGAATTTTTGAGCATACAAGTGGAATTGTACTTATTAAGTTATACTGAACAAAATACATTTTTTTCTTTGAATTTGATAATGCTTTAGAATTAGTCTCTTTCTTTTCCTGGCAGTACTGGGGATTGAACCCAGGGAGCACTGAGCTGCATCTTCAGCCCATTTTTAAATTTTGTTTTGAGGCAACGTCTTGCTCCGTTGCCCAGGCTGGCCTCAAACTTGCACTCTTCCTCCTCAGCCTCCTGAGTAGCTGGGATCACCACCTTGCTGCATTAGTGGCTCAGTAACTGTCGCTGCTTCAGTACACATGAGTGCTGTCTGTATGCTGCGTATTGTTTATGATGCTGAGGATCCAGTTGTGAACAAGCAAGATTTATTGATTCTATCTGCTTTAGATATTTATTGATGACCTATCATGTGCAGGCACTTACTGTTTCTTGCACTGTAGATATAATAGTGAAAAAAAGAGGCAACTTTGCCTTTGTGGCCTTAGATCTTAGTGAGGAGAGGGGAATAAGTAGAATAAGTAAATAACATCTATAATATGTTACATGGTGATAAATTGGAGGAAAAACAGTGAAAGGAATAGGAAGTGTTAGACAGAATTTGGATGTTGGAGTTTAAATAATTGGTCATTGAAGACCTTTTTAACAGGGTGGCTTACCAGGGATGGGAGGGTGAGATCCTTGTGTTAAAATAAGGTAGACAGGGGTTGGGGATTGTAGTTTAGTTGGTAGAGTGCTTGCCTGTGTAACGCTGCAGTTTCAATCTCCAGCACCTACCCCCGCCCCCCCAAAAAATTAAAAAGAGGCAGACAGATGGGTGTACAAGTTAGATCATAGCAAATCAATGTGGAAAGAATGAAGATGAGACTATATTTTGGTTAAAGTAAGGAGACATTTGAGTGCATACATCGAACAGATGAACACAGAAGTAAAGATTGCTTCGGACAGAGGAAGAAGATGCCCTAGTTTGAAGGTTAGAATTTACATGTGTGAAGTGTTAAGCAAGGTGAAGTTGCGAGGTAAGTGCAAACAGCCTTATAGGATTTATTCTAAGTGTTGTAGAATATTGCCATATGATTGAAGTGGGTGTAGTCCTTAGTGGACAGTGAGCTATAAAGAAACAACAGAAGCAGGATGCTAAAAGGAACAAAGGCTTGTTTGGTAGGAATGGCAGTGCTGTGAAGTAGAAAATCTGGGATGTGATTTGTGGTAGATGCATTAGGATCTCATGTTTGATTGAGTAAGAGATGAGAGAAACACTAACTAGGGATAATTACTTTGCATGAGCAACAGGATAGATGGTGCAGGATACTGAAATGGAAAGACGAAGAGCAGAACAAGTTGGCTGAAGGAAGTGAAAAGTTTGGTTTTGACTTACTGGGTTTGGAAAAGTTGCTTAAAATCAAAGATGAAATGTTACATTGACAGTTGGGGTTTTGAGTTTGGTGAAGTCATAATTGGAGAGAATAGGCATACATGTAATGTATTTGCTGTGGCATTTGACTTTTGTTAAGGAGTCTTTCAATTTCAGGAGTCTGAAAATTCTAAGTGGTATGTATTATTAGTGATAATAAAATCGTCCTCATGAAAAGCTATTAAATATGATAACCACCATTTAAAGAGGTATTGTCTCAAGGGCTTTTCTACATTATCTCATTTAGTCTCTAAGATGGTCTCAGGAAGTCAGCATTATTATTTTCTTTTTGTACAAAGGGAGACATAAATATCTTATATTAGGTCACAGACTTGGTAAAAGAGGGGATGAATACTTGAGCCTAGCAAGTTTAGGATACTCAGTTTTTTTCCTTTTTCTCCTTTTGTAAAATTTTTCAGTATTATTTGTCATCTCTAATTTCACCTTTGTACGCTGGGAGGATTAGTAACATTTACATTCTGTCTGTAGCCATAACACTAAGATGACTCTAAACATGGGGAAAACAGTAAATAGCATTTATATATAACTGTGTAGTGCTATGCTAAGTAATGTACTAAGATTTCATGTCTTTTCTTGGAATCCAAAAATCACAGCCCCTTTGGCATTCTTGTGGCTTGTATGGCCCAACGTCAGCATCGCCTCAATTATATTTCCTTTAAATTATCACCTTCCTAAATAGTGTATACCATTTTTTTAATTAGCAAAAACAAAAGTGAGATTTGTCTATTCATTAGTGTATGTGGGTGTTGCCTGTTCCTTACCATAGGGATAAGCATTTAAAAAAATTTTTTATTAACATTGTCCCTTTATAATATCACCATGTATATAGGCATGAAAATTTTCTAAATCAGTGATTTTCAATCCTGGCAGGTTTAGTATCCTCTTTTAATGTCTCTTTTACAATCCTGGTGTAAAATGTATAGAAAATATCCAATATACATAATTTTTTTTTTTTTTTTTGGTTTTTCTCCAGAACCGGGAACCGAACTCACGACCTTGCGCTTGCCAGGCAGGCGCTTTTGCCACTGAGCTAAATCCCCAGCCCCCATAATTTTTAAAAATCCATATAATTTCCTAACTGTACTAATAAAGGAAAATTATACATAATTTATGAGGTAAAATATATAATCTTTCCTTAGTATCAGTAGGGAATTGCTTTTAGAACCTGCCCTTTCTTGGTTACTAAAATGTACAGGTGGTCAAGTCCTTTTTATAAAATACAGTATCTGTATATAACTTATACACTCACTGTATAGAATAAATTGTTTCTAGAATACATAACATGCCTAATACAATGTAGATAGCATGAGGGGCTGGGGATTTAGCTCAGTGGCAAAAGCGCCTGCCTGGCAAGCGCAAGGTCGTGAGTTCGGTTCCCGGTACCGGAGAAAAACAAAAAAAAAAAAAAACAAAAAACAAAAAAAACAAAACAATGTAGATAGCATGTAGATAGTTATGCTATATTGCTTATGTGCAGTGATGGTGAGCCTTTTAGAGACAGGTGCTCAAACTGCAACCCAAAATCCACGTGTTTATCACAGAGTGGCA